AAAAAAAAAAAAAATATATATATATATATATAAAAAATATATATATATATATACAGGCACTCCAACGTCACAAACTTCACTGTATTTGGGCAGTTGCCAAATTGAATGATAGACAAATTAGTATTATATACGACAAAAGAAAACAATTTTCATCGCCGCCGTCAAATGAGGTATTTTGTTTTCCTTCAGAGTTCCCATTCATTCCGTAAATTGCCCTTAATTTTTTTTTTCAGGAGTCCCTTAGCCTGCATATCATGAATTCCTCGGCGAGGTTGCCGCGTCATTTGGCTCCGGGCGAGGACGAAGCACTAAAGAAAGAAGCAACATTTCTCCCTCTCTGGCTAAGTCGATTGAGGCCTCAAGAGGTGGACAGCCCTCGGACAGACCTCGACAGATCCCACACCCCTTTGTTTGCATGGGTGACTGAACCGATCCTCCACTTCCCCCCCCCTCACGTATCGAATGGGGGACAGACCGAACGTTGTTTCCCTCGTATCACTTCAACAGTTCGGAGCGGAGCCTATCCTACTCGATCGCCCACGGATGACATCGGACGATCGACGGACACGTGTTACCGCGTGGAACCGGACGCTCGACGAGCCAAACACCCTTTTATCGTTTGCTTCGACGGTGACCGACACCTGGGGGTCGACTGCAACATCTAACGATCGAGCGAGTCGAAGATGAAGCACGTCTCGCGTCTACTTTTGCACGTTCGAATGCATTCCGTCGATGGCGCTGGAATAGGCGGTTCCGTGCGAACGATCGTCTCTCATACGTGGAAAAAACGCGGATTCGGAAGAACCGGACCGTCGCGGAAACACGCGCGGAGGGAACAGCCTTTTCTTTTAGGTCGATTTTTTTTTCTGCTAGCTTAACATCTCATTCCCTGTGCATCTCCAGTCGGGCTTGGATTTCTTACCCTTTTTATTCATCATATCAATATTTCGGAGAAGACCCTTCCGACAGAGGGCATTTATTTATGAAATGAAGGACCTTTCCCGAATATCCCGTCGACACCTCTTGCGTGAGGATACGCGACTCGACTCGATTAAAAATCTGGGACTCGTGAAAATAGAATATGCCGAGAGCTAATTCCTGAGATGAGAGACGATAACATAAAGATCAATTTTGATAAATCACATCACGATCGAGTCAGAGAATCCTACAACAATATATTAGCGGGAAAGACAAATTTCCACCTTTCCCTTGGAAGTATCGCATGCCGTGGTACATGATCGGTACTCGATTATAATACTGGTGAACCTACCTTGGGTAGAGCAGCGACTTGATAGGCGGATCTCGCAGGTGGATTCTCCGGGAAAACTGTCAAAAGACGAGAGGTCGGGGTCACATGCAAAAGATAAAGGGGCAGCTTTTAGGTACGATCTCATTTGAATGCCAGGCGAGAAGGAGCAAGAGAATGCGTCCTTCGAATACGGGAGAAAATTATCGCTTATTTTCGGATGGACTTCTATGATGGGGTGGGAGCTTCTGTTCGCGAGACGGTGAGGATCGATGGCCTGGGGCGGGGCGGGGCGGGGCGGGGCGGGGAGCCACCGACGATCGGGTGATGCTCTTGGCGACCGTGAGAAGAAATAAAACGCGAAATCGTGAGAAAAGAGGAAGGCAAACGATGAGGTAAATTACATGCATTAAACCGGAGAACGGGCAAAATTATACGGTGTTCCGATTCGCGGAAATCTGTCATTCGATTGAAAGGAGGAGTCGACGCAGGAACGGGATCAGCGGGAAGGAGGAGCCGGATTCCAAGAAAGGGCAAGGGAAGAAAAAATCCATCGGTCCTGCTCGGAAATCCCAGTGGTAACTTTTACCATGTGAATGTATCGGCGCCGAAACTGCAACATTTATTCACCCTACAGTATATAATAATACTGTAATCGTGTTTCGAAGGAAGATCCAGAGAGAGAGAGAGAGAGAGAGAGAGGGAACCCCTCCGCCCGATCTCCACGAGTCCAGAGCTCCGAGTGGGAACGAGAACTCCCGAGACTCGAAGGGAAGGAGGCAGCCAGGGGCAGCGGGCATCGAGCGCAGTCTTCGATCGTCGAGGGGAGAGAGGGTTCGGCTGGTCGCGTCCGGCCGAGGCGATTCGGTCGGAGGTCGACGCCGCTTCCTTCGTTTTGCACCGCGGAGGGACGAAGAGTAGAAGAAAGAAGTCGAGTCGATCAGACTTTCGAGATCGGTAGAGGTTCGCATTCGGCTCTCGGACTGAGTTCTCAGGAATCGAGTTTCGTATAGCAAATATATACATATTTAAAATAGCTTTTCGTGAAGTTTATCATCGTCTCTCCTCGTCGGTTGGAGGATTTCCAACCGTTTTACGTCTCATCGTCCTCGACCTCCACTCGTTCGATGCTAAATTTTTCGTTCGCACTCGCGTTGCCGAAATACATTACGCTTTACGTTACGATCGCACACGTGTTCGTTTTCGAGTCACGACTTCGTTATTTATGGCCGTCCCGAACTCGCGGGTCGCATGAGTATGGGAATCGGGTTCGACGGGCCCGTGGAATGAAAAAGGCCGAAAACCGCCGACCCATTGGGCCGTGTCGATCCCGTGTCGATCCCGTGTCGCCGGCCTCGACGTTTACGCTTTTTTTTAAACGGAAAGTCGGGAACTCCGGACTCACACGTTTTGTAGACTTCGTTCACGGCTTGGAAGTCGTTGATGTCTGCCAGGAGCACCGTCGCCTTCACCACTGTCGCGACGCGAAAAATCGGTTCTGTCTCAATTACGACCCCGAAACTCCTCGAAAGCGGAAGCGGTACCGTTTTTATAGGTTGCACCGGCGTGTCTGAGGACGGCGCCCATGTTCGCGAGAGCCTGTCTCGCCTGTTCGGCCGCGTCCGTGGACACCAGATCCCCCGTGTCCGGATCCACGCCGATGACGCCCGACAGCCACAGTTCGTGGTTGTTCACCAGGATCCCGGGGCTGCAAGGAAAACCGACGTCATCGGGTGGCATGGCGTCGGCCGTCGATCGAATCGCGTTTCTCTCGCGAGAAAGCAAAAATGGGGGAAATGGAACCTTCTCCTCTCGCAGAGATTACCTGAAATGCCCGACGGACGGGACTTTCGTCGCCGGTCGAATCACTTGACGCACGAAGGAACTCATCTTCTTCTCGTCTGACGCGTCGATCGTTCCGCCCCGCTAACCTCGAACGCAAAGTCCGAGCCTGTCATCCATATTTATTCGAAGACCGGTTTCGAGTCGGTTGGGGAACGAAAGATCGTCGATGGCGCCTCCGAAGATATAACATTAAAAGACTTTCCTACGCGAACATCCTTTGCTCGTTTGGAAAATAGGAAGGAGCTGGGAAATCGGACTGTTTTCCAGACCTGAGGCAACAAAAAAAAATGTTTTTTTCGTTCGGTACAGATTCCCGAAATAGTCGCGGAAGGGCGTGAGACCCATTCCGTTCCGTCGTTTCGTCTTCCATGGGAAGAAAGAAGGCGATGAAGAAAAAAAAGAGGAAAGACTCGCCTCGTTTAGTTGCTCCGTCCCGAAAGGATGTTTCCAGGGAAACTTGGGCTTTCAGGCCGTTTCCGCACTTCCGATTTTTCATATTTTTTCAATCCCTCGTGTCATGCGGGATTTTTTTGTTGAGACGAGGCTCTGAACATGGATCGAGGATTCATCATTTGTTCTCCTCGCTCCGACGACCCTGGTCTCCCTCTAATCCCTTCCCACGCCTTATTGGCGCGTCTTTCCTGATCGCGGAGATGATTAAGCACGGGAGACCGTAGGATCTTGCCGCTCGAATCGCTATGAATAGACTCCATGAATGGTGTATGTAGTGAATGGACTATAAGCAGCGTTTTCGTAGCAGCGAAAGCGGAAGTAACGCTTCGTAACGCTTCACGATGCACGATCCACCCTCGCATCAAATAAAGAGCGGTGCTTCAAGAATCCGGTCGCGAGATTCCTTCGGATTTCGTGATGGCGATGGAGAAAGTCCTTCCATCTCGGGGGCTTTCCCGAATTCTTCAGATCGATCTTCGGGTTTTCGCCTCGACTTCCTCGACGTCGAGATATCCTCGGGAATTTCCTCCTCACGAATCGCGTCCTGCATGTTACCGGGCATTTTCCCGGTCCTGCGGGGGTCGAAAGCAGCGACAGCGACTCCACCGGATTTCGACGACGGCGGGATCGGAGGGACTGGAGAATCCGTCGGGAGGGAAAGGTCGCCGATCGGGCGAAGCGATTTTCTGCCGACGATTCTCGAATTCGGCATAGACGCTTTTTGTCTCTCGGAGTGTCGTTGCGTCGTCTCCGACACCCCGCACGAGAGTCTGAGTCGAGTCACGGGCGTCAAGTTGAGTTGGTAAAGTACATCAAATTTGGGGAATCCTGGATTTAAGTCGCGTTTCGCGGAATCATTCCACCATATTTGACTCGTCCTCGCAATTCCGCTACAGAGCAAAAGCAAAGAGAAAAGAAGTGGAAATGAAGAAGTCCGTCCCCCCCCCCCCCACGCAGTAACACAAATATACAGGGTGGTTGGAAAGTTAAAAAATTGCAATGACTTCTGTACTTTTTGGACTGAAACGCTGATTTTTGCGCCAAAGGAAAGAGAATTCAACGAGATGTTATGATTTCATCGATTCGTTTGTCAGCATTCATCTTCCATGGTCCAAAAATTAAAACTTAGACACCATATGCAAATAGCTGCACGGTATGAGGTGCGGAGGCGGAAGGAGTCCAAAATGCATTTTTAAACGAGAGGTCTGTTCGTATCCTTTATTTCAAAGATACGATTTAAATGCGAAGAATTGACATCCACTCTTCAGACCCGAGGGGATTCGAAGCGATCAGCATGGAGAAACCGTGCCGGCATCTCTTCCAGTGGTCCGATTCGGTCTCTCCGGATTTCCATTTTCATCACATCCGTGAGTATTCATGGGAGTGGGATGAATAATGTATCATGATCGTGACTCGTACTCCCAATTTTTAATGTAATATTCTCTTTCATCCAAGCCTTACTGGGAGAAGAGATGAACTTCTGAGATGAAATAAAATATTTATAAACTCGTTACAAAATGTTCACTTCGTTTGATTTTTTTGCATTTCCGCATTAATTCTAACCGATTGGGACTCATGGTCCACCCTGTACAAGAGATGGCATTCCGTAGCATTGCTTGCAGTTGCCGATGCAGAGGACAGGTAGGCAACGTTCCCAGCAGTTTGGTAGAATCTTTCAGGTAATGTATGGGCTCGTTGAAAGACAGGGAATGATATTTTTGTGGCAAAATGGTGCGTCACAAGCAATAAAAAAAAAGGATCCTACAAACGAGGCAAAAATAAAGGCACGAAATGAGCGAAAAAGAAGCCGGCAGTGAGGATTCGTCGAGACTTTGTAAAGGCGACGCTGAAACAGCTTCCATCTCGGGGCTTTCTCAGATCCTTCCCATCAGGACGCCAGGTGTTTCTCCTCCCGCTCTTCACGCGGAAGACGCGTCCGGCACCTCCGGAAATTCCAGAAATAAGTCTCCGCTTCGCTCCCGTTCCTCCGGTCGACTCCGTCTTCACCGGTTGCTTGCTCGGAGCCGTCTCTCATCTTTCTACCTTCCGCACGGCAGACACCCGTGATAGTTAGGTAATGAACATCAATTTACACCAGTCGATCGATTTCCTCGTACATTCCTTGCAGTACTAGATGCAGTGAGGTGCACTTCAATTTTTTGCAGGTCATATCTTTAACGCAATAACACCAAATGGACTCCAGCTGACGTGCTCCCGGAACTCATCGTTCCATTCCTCATTACGGGAGAAAAAAAGCAGAACCCAAATACATCGTAATTGCCTGCCTCCTTTCCATATGACAGACTTTCTCTCCTGAAGTCGATGGAATACTCCCTAATTTTGATTCATCGAATCCAATTTCTGTACGAGTTCTACAAGACGCGATTCTCGCAGATGAGACTTTGTGTACGCACCGATTGTTAAGGTGGTCTTGTCTTTCTCTACCCAGAGGTTCTCGGCATTCCATGCGATATTATCTCCCCCATCGTAGCTGGTAATGCCAGAGCTGCTGGGGAGCGAGGACCATTCAGCTTTTCGTCATAAGGCCGGTTGTCAGAATACAGTACCCATACCGGTGATTGCGGTTTGGCGATGGGAACGCACTGAGCCGGAATCCTACCATTAGACCTCCCTGGTCTCGTGTCACTTCTTTGGTCATTGGATCACAGGAGTCTCTTTGCCTCGGCGAGAAACGTTACTTAGAAGTCGTCAATTTAATTGTCGAGAACGGAGCCTCAG